GAACGCCGATAGCAAGATGGCGCTCTTGTAATGCGCATGCGTGATGACAACACCAGACTAACTCCCTGCGCATGCGCTCATCAAAACGCGGTACTTTGAATTGGTCATTTTCGGATCAGTCTACATAAAGTATAGGGTGTTTTTTTTTAAAGTGTATATCTTGCCTTCATTTGTTTGTTGTTCGCTGCCAAAGATTTTCTTGTTTTCAAAGATGTTCTGTCTTTTTTTTCTTCAACATCATAGTTGAATATTATATTTGCACTATTCAACTGTATTTCTCTTCTATTCTGTTTCTTTCTCAGTTTTTCTTCCATTTACTATTTTTTTCTTTCCTATATCAACGTCACTGTTATATATGTAATTCTCATAATAATATCTTTATTGTTCTCTCAGTAACTGTGTTATGGGCGTTCCTAACTCAAGCTATGCTTTTCGCCTCTTTTATCTGTTATCTGAATTATTTACTGTAGTATGTTCATTTTATTATTTATTTTTTATTTAGGGCCTAGGTTTTATTTCCACATTAACTGCATATGAAAAGAATTCACAAAGTAAGGCATATACAAGGTAACAAAACATGTACATATAATCGATAGATACAACAGTAAAACAAATTAATGGCAAGCAATTAAATACAAATGATGCTAACAATAATCTACAGTAAGCAGGCGCGCCGGAAGCAGTTTGGGACTGGGGGGGCAAACATTCCAGGGGGCTCACATTCCAGGGGCAGTGACGTAATGAGAAAAAAAGTTCGGAAGGGGGGGGGGCACACGAAAAATCTGCATCACCACCAGTCTTACACGTTACATGCAGGTCCCGCGGAACGTTTTTCAAAGTGGAGTATTATCGATCAGGTAGAGCGTAAATTGGCGTGGGGTCCAGGGAATGAGCCTCGGCAGGGGGTCAAGGGGCTGAGCCCCCGGAAGCTCAGGGGTTTTAGGTATTTATTTACGGTTAGATGAGCATCCAGGGGCCCTCTGTAAGGCAATTGACGTGTTCCAAGGGGGGGGGGGGAGAGCCCCCAGAAATTCAGAGGTTTTGATATTTAACTACGGTCAGATGAGCATCCAGGGGCCGTCTTAGGGCCCTTGGTGTGGTTCAGGGGGCAGAGCCCCCGGAATCTCAGGGGTTTTAGGTATTTAATTACAGTCAGATGAGCATCCAGGGGCCCGCCTTAGGGCCCTTGGTGGGGTCCAGGGGGCAGAGCCCCCGGAAGCTCAGAGGTTTTAGGTATTTAATTAAGGTCAGATGAGCATCCAGGGGACCGCCTTAGGGCCCTTGGTGGGGTCCAGGGGGCAGAGCCCCGGAAGCTCAGGGGTTTTAGGTATTTAATTACGGTCAGATGAGCATCCAGGGGCCCGCCTTAGGGCCCATGGTGGGGTCCAGGGGGCAGAGCCCCCGGAAGCTCAGAGGTTTTAGGTATTTAATTAAGGTCAGATGAGCATCCAGGGGGCCGCCTTAGGGCCCTTGGTGGGGTCCAGGGGGCAGAGCCCCCGGAAGCTCAGGGGTTTTAGGTATTTAATTACGGTCAGATGAGCATCCAGGGGCACGCCTTAGGGCCCTTGGTGGCGTCCGGGGGCGGAGCCCCCGTAAGCTCTGGGGTTTTAAGCATTTAATTACGGTCAGATGAGCATTTTTTATACCTTATTTGTGACATTGGCAGGTCACTTATTTTTTTCTCCGTCTTTCTTTCTTTTTTTCTTTAACATACTTTTTCAAAAAGGAGGGGGAGGGGGGGGGGGCTCGAGCCCAGCCACTTTGCAGACCATGACATAAAGGCTTCTAAATTAGCGTATTTCGCCTGACTGTAATTTGGGAATTTCTTATTTTCCAACAAACGCATAAAAAGGTATGACTTACAAAAGAAATGGAGAAAAAATGCCGGAAAATCATGTCACAACATCAACATTTGTAAATCAATTGTTTCGAATAAGAAATACATCATCCCCCCCCCCCCCCCCCATCAGTACGCCAGCGTTCAGGGGCTCATGTCTTCTCACCCCTATAACAAAAAAACGGGCACGCTTTCCCATTCTCGCACAATATGTCCACGATATGCGCGTATCGCTATTATAGAGACCTCCATTGATAAATACCGTATAGGTGGCATGCGCAATGTTTATGAAATTTAATTCCTGTGAACTTTCCGTTTCTTCGAATGGAATTGTATATGTGATTTAATTCAGGTTTTATTATTGTTACGTTCTTTTGGATTAAAAATACAAGCCTTTACTGTTATTTTTTTTTTTTTTTTGGAGGGGGGGGGGGCGTTTTGGGGGGCAAAAATGCGTTTTGCCCCCCCCCCCCCACTTTTTTGACTGGGGGGGGGGGCAACTGCTCCCCCTGCCCCCCCCCCCCCCCCCACTTCCGGCGCCATTGACAGTAAGCCTAAGAAGGAAACCTTGGAAGCATTATGCTTGTAATTAAGGTTCCCTTTACACAGTACGTTTGTTACATAATATATAAAACAAACAAAAACAAAAACAAAAGAAGAACAAAAACGGGTGTGTGGTGCAGCCAACCAACAAAATGTTGATAATACCGATGGTCTCCATCACTCGATGACCTTAAGAATTTTCATACTGAAGTAGAAGTTTATGTTTCAAGTATTTGAAAGTTGTTGAAATCATTGTTATTATAATGTATACATACATTGTGTTTCATATTGTACCATTGAGAAGGAAATAAATGTTAATAAATACAAACGAAAAATGTTTCTTCCATGCCCCAGAATGGGCCGTTTAAGAAATAAAAATCATCGTCATTGGGCCAGTATTAGTGATATCGCAATCAAATTGGACAAGGTCAAGGAATCGGAAAAATCTTATAATAATTGATTGATTGATTGGTTTTATTCGCCATATGCCTCGACTCTGATCAACAAAGGCCTACAACAAGAATAAAAGAATAAAAGATCAAAATGCAAGTCGGCTTGAACAGGATAAGCCATTAAAAAAAAATGTTTTAATTAGCATCCTGCATGCATTTTTGAAAAAAAGGAAGGAGGAGGCCTTTTTTTACCCCCTTCAAAATGGCCGCATTTTCCCTGACGTCCAGCCGGTCAGGCTATTTTTGTTTTCTTTACAGTTATTATCATAACTATCGTTTTTAACACTGACGTACCGTATCTTGTGATCGAGCCACTCTCCAAATTGAATGCATGATTGAAATTTGTCTTAAGTTGCCAATTAGTGTTTGATTAACTGTACATGAACTTTCAAAAATTCATAACTTCTAACTTTTACTTGTTTGTTTTAACCTTTCACTGACCTGTTTCAAGTTCATTTTTCTGCTTCTTTTAAACCAACTTAATATCAGGATGGACTTTTTTTAATACAAACTCACAACAAAGCAGCAAAGGACAGATATAGTATTTTTGTAAATGACAGAATGCGCCATTCCGTCACAACGGGAAAACTTTAAAACTATGTAATTGTTCTTTGCGATTACCTAAAGAATAACCAGGCCTAAATCTTGCAAGAAAAATGGTCCAAATTAAGAGAAATGAAGAAGAACAAAAAAACTGAGCCGTATTGGAAATGCACTCGCTCGCTTCTGTTTCTCACATTACGTCTTAATTGCCAAATAAGCGCTTACTCATGTTATAAATATAACTCCTAGTTCTAGACCATATTCTTGTATAATTTGTTTCATATCGCGGCCCGGCTAGCTTTGCATCTAAAGGTATAGGCTACTCCTTTTCTAACTGAAGTTATCATATTTTGCATGTACGGAAGAGGGGAATCAAGACATGGAAACGTGATGATATAAGTCAAAGAATGAACGATGCTTCGTATCATTGTTCAGGCTTATTAATATTATAAAAACGGGTCCATATCGAAATAGAACGGACTTATATACATTATAGGCCTAGCTAGTATGTTCAGAAGAGAGTGCATGGATATGCGAACGGCATTATTTTACTGCAAATATCGCGGTCTTGTGTCTACTTAAGACGTAGGGGCCGCCCCCACCCTGGTTCCTTTGCCCCTGGAAAAATAATGGCTGTAGTGATTAACGGAATAACGAAAATAGGTATACGGCCCCCAGGATACTAATTTTATTCTAATTATTGAAGGGGAAAAAAGACATAAAAGATAAGATGCATATATGCATGCAGCCATCAGTATTTATCCAGTTCTCACACACACATTGGCATATTTAAGAACTCCCCAACCTGACTCTTCAACATAATATACGCTGACAATTTGGTCAAGCTGGCATGCATGTCAACATGAAATGATGCCGCAACTGCATTACTACAGGAATATTCAAGAGACCATATTTTTTTTATCAGGCGGATAACAATATATATTTAATAGAATTTCCTTAGAAAGTCATACAATATATCCTCTATTTCTTCCAAAGACCAGAAGAAAAAAAAAACTGAATAGATATAGAGATCTATGACATCACAGGCCAATGAACCGAGGTAAAAAGGAGATTCTCTCTTTCATTACGGCGCCTATACTGATCTTTCAATAAATGTCACTTTCAATAATTTTCTTTCTTCATGCTTGGTCCCAATTTTTTTATTATTCCACGGATAATAAATTAAAACTTTGGATTTTTTTTGGGCTACGGGTCCGAGCCTGGCGACATTTATTCTTCTCCAAGAAATCATGTTCAACAAAGATGTACACAGACGATGATATTAGTGTGCATCTTTCCCAACCCCCTATTTTTCTTCTAGATATCACCCCGTCCCCCAACCGTAACTCTAAATCCGCTCCCTCTTCCAACCCCACCCCCACCTTCCTCTCTCTCTCTCTCTCTTTCACTCTACGTATAACTGTCTCAGCCTCTTTTTCCTTTCTTTCTCTCCCACTGTCCCTCTCTCCTTTTCCAAAGTCACCTAACTTCCATATTCCTTTTAAAAATCTTGGTTAATATTTAAGTCATTCCACTTTGTATATTCATTAAAAGAATTATATGAATGCTAAAATAATTTAAAAAAAACTCTGTATGCAACACAGATTACAATTTGACAAAAAATATGAATCAATATACCTGTATTTCATATATTTGAATAAAATTACAATGTTAAGAATTTAAATCTGATTGTCTAATAAGACACAATTGGCAGCAGAGTCAATCAACTACATTTAAAAAACACTATTATCAATACACTTTAAACAAATGTACAATTATACTGCATAGTGAACCAAAATTATCAATATTGCTATTTGCTTTAGATTTCAAGTTAAGGGCATTGGAAAGTAATTAAAAAATAACAGACTACAAAATATTACATTTAAAAAGGGAAACCAATTGTTTGAAATATATTATAACTTGATTTCAGGCATTGTAGGCCCTGAAATTGAAACACTTTTGTTTTTCCTTTTAGAACAGTGGCCCTGATAATCAGACATAAGAAAAAACTGTGATTATTGCTTAAAAGACTTACATAAGTGAAAATATTCTCAAATTTACGCCTGATCATTTTTCTGTATCCAACGACACAGAGATTAGTGAGTACACTTTAGGTGCAGATGCATACTTCACACACCCACTTGCCATTCATGTACATGTAAAAATATAATAATTAACATTGTGTCAATTGTTACTTTGATATTACAATATATTGTAAATATTTTTTTTAAACTATTCATTATTTTCATTCAAATAATAAACAGTACAAATGTCCATGCACTACGTAGTATACAGAAGCACATACTTTTGATCAGCATTTGTATTAACATGCCATCTAAAGGGAGTCAATTATGTAATTACAAATATCATGAGCAGTATACTACACATCTTGTCCTTACGTCAGGCATACATACAAGTTCCTATACTAAAAGAGGAAGCGCAATCTACACTCTACATTAGTTACGCGAGGCAAGAAATATTACTTATCTTTGTATAGAGAAGAATACATGATTGTTTTGTTAGACATTAAGTATTTGGTATCAATTCAATTTGGCATCTTGACTCACATAAATAAGACAATTTCATCACAAGAAAAAAAAAGGCTGACAAAGAGATTCAATGAATTAAGCCACTGCTGAAATACATGCATGGCCATTATAAAAAGTCATAAGAAGTGACAGCTTAAAATAATAAAAGTAACATTTGTATAGTGCTTAATACAGTGTTTATAGGTGCTTTACAATGTAGTTATCATTACTACGGCCATTGGATTCAATAATTGCTAATCTGCACAGGATAGTGCACATGAATTAACACAAAATATACCAGAGAAGCATTTGGGCATTTGTACAGTTAGTTTTAAGAATATCCCCTTCTTCTTTGGTATAAAACGTACAACAAAATAACAATTTGTTCTCATTACATTTAGGAATGTTTCATAGAGTAAATTACAAATTTGAATAAAAACAAGTAATGATGACCACTTATATTCAAAATCAGAGTGACCACTGTCTATTTCACAAAGCTGTTTTGATGTCAATTATAAGATTAAGACAAATGATGCTGTATTTACTAAACTTTAATCTTATACAGATACATAATTTAGTTTTTTTTGGTTTAAAATATATTCCAAGATAGGGTGATTAATACTTCAAAAACATAAATAATACCTTGTTTAACTCGACCCTCTTTACTCTTACTCTTTTCTGGAAAATACACATGGTTAGTATGCATACAAACCAATTCTATGGAAATGAAGAAGAACAAAACTATCTGTTTGGAGCAAAAAGGGCATTTAACCCATATTCTGTAACACAAATTTAATGCCTTTGTGGCTCCAACAGATGGAAAGATAATTAAGAATGGTTGTAGTAAGAAATAGTAGATTTGAATACATTAGTAAAATGTATACCTGATTATTCGTCATGTCGTTGATTTCAGTCATTTACAGTAATCCATTCTGTATTTAGTGATCTCTACATTATTTGCAGCAATAGCAAAGATTTTTTAACCAAGAATTGCACTAATAATCATTACATAACAACGCACTGGTGATAGAGATGTTTGCATGTACATGTTATCTTTTTACTGCAATAAGAGAGTGGTCAGTTCTTTATTCTTTTTACTTTCTCTATAGATTCAATTCACAAGTTTATTTACAACTTTCAATGTTGTAAGTATGTATAAAGATGACTCAACTTTGGCAGTATTGCATAGCAAGCATGTAGGATTTTTTCCTATTATTGTATAGGAATACGTATAATTACGAGTTGCACATACTTATCTCTGGTCTTTCTTCCTCCATGTTTTTCATGATTAGAAAGAGAAAAATGTGACCGATTAGAATTTGTGAGTAAAGGCGGCCAGGGCCCAGAAGGGAATCTTGATGAAGCCAGGGATCATAGCTCCAACCCAAGTGTGTCCACCCATCAGGGCCAGCGCCTTCAGCTGACGGTAGTTCATCGGCCTGTGGCCGTCGACGTCCGTGAAACCGTACTCTTCTGCAAGCTCCATCGTGAGGAGCACACGGCCCGTCTTCTTTATGACGTCCTTGTCGGCCGCGAGATTGACCACGCACTTGCCGGCGTACTCTGGGCTCTCTCCCATCAAGAAGATGTCCCGTTGCTGCGGGTGTGGGCACAGAGGGATATATCGTTAACACAAACACATTGAGAACAAAGTGCAGACCTGCCAACCTATGGAGTTCAAAATCGGTATTCTTTAATCCCAAAAGTTCTATTTTTACTGACAAAAACTGTATTAAAAAAAAAAAAAACATGGATCATTGCCTCTTACAGTTCCTACAAACGGGAAAATTTTTGTATGGATCATTGGTTGAATATGCATGATTTTGTCATGACTGGTGTTGAACCAATGAACATCCCCAAATTTCTGATGTGAGATGCATGTAGTATAATTTAGAGGAGAAAATGGGCATTTTGCCATTGAAAATGGCAACACACACACAAAATACAAAACAAACAAAACTCTTTTTGGAGAAAATCATATTTTATGGAGGAAAATTGTACTGTCGTATCTACTTCTAAAAATTGTACGAAACACGATTAAATCATACTGGTTGGCAGGTCTGCAAAGTGGTATAGATCGTGTGATAATGTACGAAGCTCATTCAGGCCCTCTTCATTTGCCTCCATTTTAACAATGACAATATCATTTAGAAACTGCTCATTTTCCACTGAATGACCATTTTCTAGAATGTCAGTATACCCTTTTTCTGGTTCTCTCTTCTCAAAAATAGGCCGTGGCATTTCAGACTTCTGCATAAGCCCTCCAAACATATCTATTGAAATCACTAGCATTTAAAAAAGGGTCTATCCCTCTACTTGAAGATAACTCTATTTTCAACCATGCCCTAGTCTATGTACATTGAATGAGCTACTACAAACCAACTACCCCTCCCCTTCCCTCCTTCCTGCCCCCCCCCCCCCCTTCCCCTCCTACCTCCCCCTAGATTGAACTATGTAGGACAAAATCCCTTTTCAGATTCTTACCTTTGCTTCGTATCCTCCAACTTTAAAGCTCATGTCGGGATCTTTGAACTTTTCAAGGATTTGTTCTGTTTTGACTGCACCAGGCCAGAGTGAGATCGCTGCTACACCATGCTTCTTCAACTCATGAGCACAATCTGTTGCTAACCTGTCAACCTATAATGTACACATAGAAAAGATCATGCTTGAAGAAACAATGTCCAGTCGCATTGAAACCTGTATATAGAGACCACTCAAGGGGGATAAGAAAAAAAGTGGTCTTAATAGGCAGGTGGTCTTGATGTACAGTTCCTTTCGTACACATTTCAGCGGGATACATTATTCAAGGAAAACAATAAAATGTCATGTTTGATTCAGGAGTATAACATGTACATGTACATGCTCATCTGCAAGTACCCTGTCCCGTTTTGTCATGTCAATATCACATATCAGATTGTGCCATTTCAAAATATAATGACAACAAAATAAGGGGTTGAAAGAGTAAGCCATAACATTACCCTGTCATAATCTTTCTAATGCCACCTTCAGATTTAGTTACTTCCTTTTAACAGATTATAACATCTTCTAATCATTACTTCCTCCTTATTTTTACAGATAACTTCAAATCATATCAGCCGATTGATAACACTTTCTATATGGAGTGCATATGAACATTGGAGATTGAAGTTGATGGATACAGATTGAATAAAAATAATTGGGATGATTTTATTAACTGAATGTAAATTAAAATATTCCCAGATTCTTATTTTTTAGTTGAAACTTACCGCAGCTTTCCCAACCCCATAGGCGACGTTGAAGAGGTATCTGAGCCCACCTCCTGACGAGATATTCACAATGAGACCCTGTTTGGCTGGAACCATCAGTTTGGCTGCATACACTGAACATATGTAATGATTCCTGTCAATCAAAAAGGATAACAAATAGGGACAAAATATTGACTTTTAACATGGCATCCCTAATATATGTATGATAACTTGGTCAACCATGTATGTTTATTTTTTAACTGAAAAAAAAAAGGCATTTATATATTTCACTTGTCTGACACGGCCGGTTGTAGCAACCACTCCAAAAATCAAGATTTAATTTAGGAACTTTGAAATTATCTTGATCTACGGAGACACAAACGAACGAACCTTTGTATTATACATATATCACTAAAACTGAAAAGCACAAGGCTCAAAAAGCTGATGCAGGTACATCGGATAACACACACAAACGGAAGTATCTTCACGCATTTAATATTTATTATGTGAGGGCATTTCAAGAAAAGTTAATCTCATATTATATTGCTGCTTGGATGGTTTCCTATACTGGAATAAAATAGATTATTACGGTAAGTACTTTTCTTATGTTGATTAACCTATACTAGACCTCAAGTCTCCTGTACTTACCTCAGACCAACATTGTTGATATCATCCCAAATGGTTTCAGGTAGCTCCCAGAATGGGGTATTCACTGCGCCCATAAGAGCCTGCAAAAGAATATTAAAGGATATGTTAAAATATGCATGTACAAGGTTATATTAACCTCAAGCTAAAGTGTACATGATACAGAACAATCTATGCAATTTATTATGATATCATAGATTGCGGTACTGATAAACAACCAACCACAAATAGGTGGAGAAGTAATTTGATGGAAGTGGTGCAATTTTTCTCTTTGAAAAAGATTACTTGTAAGCTTATAGGCCGTACAAAGCAAAACCATCATTTGAAGTTGCGCGCTCATGCAAAAAATAGTCAATCAAGATCGACTGTAATGAATGTTCATTTGAATTTAGTTTAAACAGATTCACAATTTGTATTACCTTTGCCTTGAAACAAGACTAGGTATGACATTGTAAGTTTCCTTCAAGTACACTACACAGTACTACAGATAAGTGCTCTGTGTGTTTGTATGCATTATACCCTTTGCCTGATATAGCAGTACACTTGTACATAGACTAGATAGACATGCTAGATGGTGGTAGCTGGAAACTGAGTAGCTGGTTGTTTGTGGAGAATCTACTCTAATTTATTGCATCCTTGGGTGTTTTAATGCCGAAGAAGCAGAATAAGGAGGTAAAAAGGTTAGTTTTTCCTTTGAATGTATTATTTTGTGATATTAAGATAAGAAAGATTGTTTATTTGATGTTTAAATAGTGATGAGTTTCTATTAAGATTGTGTTTGTGCGCCACACCTTTCAGTACATTCATTTGTGTACAATAGTTGTTAATATACAGTACAGTGTTATTATAGAACTTAAAAAGTATTTCATAGCCGAGTCAGGTTTATTTATATTATTGCAAATGCAAGTGGAATAATGTGATGTTTACTTTGGTAATCTGTTTTATGTTGAATTGTTAGAATACTTACAAAAGGAAAGTATGTATGGAAATTGTATGGATAGATGTAGGTCACCAGTGTGCCTGACAGAAATTGGCACTTCTTTGTTATGATAATGCAGGATTCAAGGTTGATCACCTGTTGATCATCTGTTGATCCCTCGCATCCACCACCCTTCATCCTTCTTTCACAGTACCATGTCAATGTGTTTTTTAAAGAGATGTAAAATAAAATTGAATTGAATTGAATTGTATCTTTGTGGACTTACAGAAACTGCAGCGTATGCATTGTTGACTAGGACATCCAGATGGCCATTCTGTTCTTTCTCTATCCTTTCGAAAAGTGCTTTGATCTGGTCATCTTTGGAATGGTCACACTGGACTGGAACACATTTGCCTCCTCTGTCGTCTATCTACAGGAAAGAGAAACACGAAAGGGAGTGAATAATAAATGAAAACAAAATAATAAAGTCTAAGATATATCACATGAAAATGATTTTTTTTTTTTTAATCCCAGGGAAGTCTAATCATCTTCAATGCTGTTCTTCCTGAGGGCCTTGCAACTCTCATTACCCCAGCAAGTGCAAGGTACCCATTTACACCTGGGCGGAAAGTGGCAAATGTGGATTAATGTCTTGCCGAAGGACATTAGTGCTGTGCTGGGATTCATATATGTGCCTCCCATCTTATACTTATAGTTTATAAATTCCTGAGAGAACATACATTCTGTATGACACGAATCACGTCATAAAATCACGTTCAACTGAATTGCTTAAGTTCTCTGAAAATACAAGGATAAAGTTAAACACAGGGGTCTTACATCTTATCCTTGTAAGAAAATCACAGCATTTGATAACCCTAAAATCTGGAGGTCTCTCGGCCAAAATCTCAGCCATGGAATAAAGAAACTTCATATACTTTTGCTCTTTCCGTTTATAAATTCATGTTATGTCAAGCAACTGATTAATACAAGAGTTCACTTGGTTCTCAGATTGGAGGAATGACTTACTTCTCTTGCTGTTTCTTCCAATGACCCTCCGACTCCATCTTGCTTTGGTTTCAATGTTCTTCCTACAAAATAAATCACAATAGAAGAAAAAAAATGAACTCAAAAAAAATAAAAAAATATTCAGAAATAAAAAAATGTCTAAAACATCAGAAGAATTTGTGCACAGATGGCCAGAAAAATAATTCTTGAATTAAGATGATGGTTGCTACGATACCATGATCAAAATCGTTTATACTAAAGATAATAACCATAATCAAACTATTGCTGGTAATGTCTATGGAAATTAATTAAATTATCTGCCCCATATGGAGCATTTAAACATTTTAGCACCCAGTAATGAAAATCTATTATGCAATACAGCTCCCTATGTAGACAATTTTACTGCACCGATTGAGAAGTTGCAATATTTGTCCTCAAATATTTGCAATTCAGCTTTACACCATGTTTGTTTTTCCAGAGAAGTACATGTATAAAAGAGAGTCATCACATCACAACCATGGCAATAACATCAATAAATCATTTACAAATTTGAAATAGCACAGACGCATTCTTAATCAGAGGAGAATAACCTTCACACTCCTAAAGTAATGATACTTCTAAATTCACTGCCTTATAATGCAAAAGTTACAGGATTCTTACAACAAAAAAATGTTCTTACAATAGTATTCAGAATGATTGCATTATTTAAAAACATCATAAGCTAAATTCTCCTGCCATCCACATGTACATGTACACCACTATACTCATAGGAGTAAATTGCCAGCTGATGTGATTCCCTATAAATAAAAATTCACTCCAAAGTGTTTTTAACACGATGTACTTACCTGTGATGTAGACTGTAGCTCCTGCTTCTCCCAGCTGCAGAGCAATTCCCTTGCCAATACCCCTGGTAGCTCCAGTCACAAGACACACTTTACCAGCTAGTCGACCACTCATCTTGAATGAATCTTATTATCACTTCTAGATAAATCTATAGAAATACACAGAGATAACAAATATTGCTCAATGAGATTTGAATATTCCTGAATGTCTACAACCTGACTATTGCTAATTACGTCAAAGAAGTTAAATGGTGTCATATCACTGACAAAGCTGGATAGCTGAAAAATATTGAGGTAAAGATTTTGTATTAATATAAAAGATTAACTTTCGATCACACAGATTACCAATACAGACAAACTATTGAACTTTCAAGATTGGGATTTAAACAAGTTATGAATCATACATTTTCTTTTTAAAATATGACATTTGAAAAAAAAAAATTTAAATCAACATTAGCTATAACAACATTATTCCTGCTTGCCCTGTGTTCCAAAATATTACAATCCCAGATTGACATGCGACTGATTAAAGACATCTCTATTAAAATTTTAGCTTTTACATACCAACTACATGCAGTAAAAGTACACAACAGCAAGGTGCAATGTGCTACAAAGTACAAACAACTTGCCTGTAATGTATTCCAATCTCACTGTAATATTCTGGCTGGTAACAAATTTGCACAGGTTGAAGATATATATTGTTGTAGTGCCCTCAACAAATTAATTGCAGCTCAGAAATCATGTTCAATATACTAAGTATTTGACAAAAGATTTACAATAAGCTCATGCCACTTTAATCCCACAGTGTACTTGAGAGTACCAATAACCAAATGAGAATACAATCAACCTTGAACAAAGTCACCTACGTAATGTTGATAAGACTGATCTGCGTGATGATCAGACAAACAATGACAGATACTAGACTCATATAATCATATGGAGACAGATTTATTTCAAACAGATGTGCTTGGAGCAGTCACGTGACCATAATCTGTGTCCTAGGTGACCTACTTGGAGACCAAAGGTCAAATATGTGATTGTGCAGATACTGTATATCACCAACCACATGAGTTATTATCAGCTGGAAGGAAACTGAGGACAGTGTGCATATTTGCATCAAGCTCTCAATGAAGATCGGTTGCTCTAGAGGCAAATATAAAGTGCTATAACCTCTTTCATCCTATCGTTTGATTAATGATAAAGATATATTGCAAAAGAAATATTTAAAATCCACAATAGCTTGCAAGCAAGGTCATTTATTCTAGAGATATAATATTCTCATTTACAAGATTATTAACGTAAATTAACAACCAATATCTTAATTTTACTTCCAACCTATCTCATGAAATATAGATGACGAAGAATTAATTAAAGCCTTTTTTCATGCACTAAATAAAGTTTAAACAGATAAGGAACATAAACAGAACTTGAACTGGATCAAGTACTTTGACAAAGATAAGCTATATAGCATGTAATCTTATCACCAAAGTTCTTTACTGTACAATTTCAACCATACTAGACTATTTCTAAATATACATGTAGCATCTAAGGGCTTAATATGATCCATCATTATCCACATGCAGCCAGTTTGGCCTTAACAGTTTTGTGAGAAGGAGTATACATGTACATGTAGTTTTCTCCTCGCTATTTCTCTATGTACGTGTACATACCTTTTGTCTCTCTTTTTCTCTCTCTCTCTACCCTGTGACCCTTCTTGCCAAAGTTCTGTCTGCTTTAACGTGACTCAACATGTGCTCCTAAATTCATCTCTACAGTATTAATGACACACTATGAATTCCTGATTTATCAATATAGAATTCAATCCAATAATCTTCATTCTTCAATCAAATAATTATTGTATCTCATGTATTTAATTGAGTCTCATGATTCTCATGATCTCATCATCATCATTTATCAATAATCAAAGTCAGCATTTTCCATTTTACAACTGAAGGGGTTACTGACTTTCATACCATAACACTTATTTCCTTGGTTTCTTCTTGTCTCAAGCATCTTCCTCATTTCAACCAAACTTACCAAGTTGCTGTAATCATATTTCAAGCATGCACAATTTCAATTTCATAAAGTTTCTGGATGGTTATACAATACTGCACTAGTATTAGTAAACAACGTCTCTCTATTGCATTGGGACAGTCTGTGGTCTGTAAGGCTGTGCACAACAGTGTAATGAGGTACCTGAGTACACTCCCAGGCTTACAAGCGAATACTCAAATATTCGGACGCCATGTTTTTTTATAATTTGTTTGATTTTTTTTTGCCACCACTATACCACTGGAGCAGTATCCCAAGTCCTTTGCCGAAAACGCATGCAATTACTTCGAGTTGCAGTTGAAGGCGCCGATTTAATAACAATAATAACAGTAAACAATGTTGTTTTAAAAACCAAAGATGGCAGAATAATCCATTTTCCTCCGAGTCCAAACAGAAATCCGGACATTTGGTCCCAGTTTCTGAGTGGTGAGTTTGACAGTGCTTGAGTTGGGAAACATTTTTACCGACAGCATCATGCCAGCGGCCGCCGCTCTCCCTGGCACGGGTAAGCGTCGGCCTGGACAGTGATTTTTTTTTTTTTTTTTTGCGGCCGAATATACGAGTACGAGAAATCGTACTCGAGTAGTTGTCAACTGTGCGGGTAGTCGAGCGTTCGACTACATGTCGCAGCCCTATATTGTACAAGTTTCCTTTTAAATTTTTTTTTTTTATTTAGAAGGTGATTAGCAAAATTAAGTTGCTGACTCTTAAAACAAATGTGTCAAGACAAGGCTTAAAGAGTCACAGCCAGGTAACAAGATTCAGAGTTTGATCTTGTCTTCTTAAATATTCTGACATTTCTGTAACTAGTAAACTCTTTTTTACTAAAACTAAGAGTAAAAGAAGATCTAAGACAAGTGCCACTCCCCCCCCCCCCCTCGGAACTTTCCTTTCTGGCGCACACACGCACAAAGTCTAGTAAGATAGTGCTGCAACTTACCCAGAACTTTATTAAATACACATTAATCGCAGCTGAAATTTACTCAGTCCAAGACAAAATGCTCTCTGACTCTGGGCCCCGGCCCCCCACTCAGTGTTATTTAGAGTAGTGCTGTAGTCAAACGTTTAACCGTCCGGTATCCGACCGCCCATGGCGGATTCCGTTTTCAATTGGACGGTTTCGTTTTCCCGATTTTTTTTTTTTTTTTTTTTTTAAGTTTCGATTTATGCCCCTCCACCTGGCACTATGCCTGGCAATGTCTCCCAGCTCAGTAATCTGTGTGTTGACTCACCACTCCAAAACTAGAACAACACTCCAATTTGTCTGTCATCTTGGTTTGAAAGTAATCTTTGTAATAGATCTCATCATCTCAATATGTAGTTTATAATAATAATTCATCCAACTTTTACACAAGGTTCTGTTCTAGGTCCTCTACTGTTTTTAATTTACATTAATGATCTTACACATTCTTCTAAAAACAACATTGTTACTATTATTTGTGACAAGTTCACAAGCACAAATCGGCCCCTTTAAATGCACCTCGCAGTTAAATGAAAGTTGCCGACAGAGTCGGTAAAAAAAAAAAAAAAAAAAAAAAAAAAAAACAATTTTTTAAATTTTTTTTTTATTTAAAGATGAAGTTGAGTTCTGGTCATGCGATTGCATTGTGAAAGAAACGGTGTGGAACCGACCAGAAAAGGTTGATCATCTAGCATATTAGAATTTGTGTGTATTGCAAGGTTCTGGAATCATCAAAATGATAAGAAATATGGCCAAGTCTTGGTAAAGTTACAAACACTTGCACAGAAAGATGTATATGGGACTACACGAACACGTGGCGTAAAAATCCGGCCCCCCGATTTTTACTATGTTACATGCATATTTAGAATATGAGGGCATTTGAAGAGCCATGCTTTTCAAGGAACATGTCTTAACTGATTTTCTTCCACACTTGCATAATAAGAATGAGTAATGCTCACAAATTATTTTTCACCTCTTCCCAGAACTCAACCTTCTCTTTAAAAAAAAAAAATTTTTAAAAATCGTTTAACCGAAAACCGTCCAGTTTTGACTGGCGGTTAAACGGAATTGGAGATATCCGTGATGTTACAGCACTAATTTAGAGTACGCATATGCTCGTACCCTCTTTTTGAAAGCACCCCCTATCTGAGGACTGCCATCATTTCCGAACCCCCCTTTCGCGGGCTTTTCGCAGGCTTTTCCTGCCTTGGAGACCCCCCTAAATCAGGAAAAATACTCAATGTACCCCCCTAAATTCGGAATAAGATCTCAGGAGTCCAAAGAGATGAGAGAAAAAAAGAAAAATACCCCCTTTTTAAAGAAATCTCCGGGTAAAAAGTCAAATACATCCCTTTTTTTACAATTCTCGGGCCGGACTTTGTCGCACGAAAAGTACCTTACCGGACATTTTGGCAACACGCATGCGGTCATTCCGACCTCTGAGTGGGGGGGCCGGGCTCTGGGCCAGAGCCATTGGAGCTGGAGAAGTCTAGCTAGCTCTGCAAATTCTGCAAAATACCCAAAACTTGCATGTCAACAGCAGCAGCATTTTTTTCCTTTTTCTATCCATGAGGATTTCCATCTGACACGTGAGGCAAATCATGACTTATGCAATCTAGCCAAAAATGGCGCGCCAAGGCCCAAGCCCGAGCCCCAACGCACGAGTTCCGGGGAGGTTCACGCGCAGAATCCGTTGGCTGTAATCGGGCTTTGGCTTGGCCCTTGGCTCCACCTTCCACTGCACTAGATCTAGATCTATGTCTAAAATCAACATTTTGCGACAAAACACCTCTTTAGAAAGATAGAATGCATAACTTCACCCAAGCACTTCATAATAACAGCATCGAAATCAAATGAAAGATTCAAGTTAATCTTACTTACCAGAGTTTCACTTCAGACAGTGCCTAGTTGAAAAAACGGTAGCATATATTGGCACCAAGATTAAGGGCGATATGAATATTCATTATTCCCTACGTCACAGACGTGCGGCGTGCGTACTCTGTCATATACACATGTACTCAGTACACGAGTACGTTCGTAAGCATTAGTACATGTACATTGCTCCGGAATGAAGAGAATCATTATAAAGGACGAATTACTCCGTGAAGCCAAGTACAAGCAGGGAATTGAAAATGGCAAAAGTTCCTCGGAGCGGCTATACACTCCCTAATCTAGCTAGTTTTGTAATGATAGTTTATTTAGGAAAATGGATATTTAGTACTGTTTAGTTGTTCAATAACATCACTCAGTTTGATTTGATTCGAGATATATCTCATTAATGAAAGAGTATAAAGGCTATATGAGTCTCACACGAACGATCGCCACTAATTTTGGTGCCAACACCGTTAAACCATGCTCCAAATTAAATAATACAATTTGTGTGCCCAACAAAGACCCGGGGTTGGAATATTTAGGAGAACGGAAGATTGATATTGTTAATTTGTTCCATAACATCACTCAGTTTGATTTGATTCGAGATATATCTCATTAATACAACAGTATGAAGGCTGTATGAGTCTCACACGAACGATCGCCACTAATCTTGGTGCCAACACCGTTAAACCATGCTCCAAATTTAGCAATACGTTTGGTGTGTCTATAAAGACCTGGGGTTGGAATATTTAGGAGAACGGAAGATTGATATTGTTAAGTTGTTCAATAACATCACTCAGTTTGATTTGATTCGAGATATATCTCATTAATACAACAGTATAAAGGCTGTATGAGTCTCACACGAACGATCGCCACTAATCTTGGTGCCAACACCGTTAAACCATGCTCCAAATTTAGTAATACAATTTGTGTGCC